ATCCACCATGAGCTGCTGGCCTACCTGTATTCATCAGCAGACCAGAGCAGCCTCATGGAAGAGTCAGCTGAACAGGCTCAGCGGCGGGATGATATGCTGCGCATGTACCACGCCCTCAAGGAAGCACTTAACATCATTGGAGACATCAGTACCAGCACCGTATCCACGCCTGTGCCCCCGCCTGTTGATGACACTTGGCTCCAGAACACCAGTGGCCACAGGTCTGGAAGGCAGTTAGTCTCCCCTGTGCCCATACAAGCTCAACCCTTCTGGTTCCCTGAGCCCCATCAGGAGAGAGGCCCCAGCTAAAGGAAGGGCAGGGCCAAGAGTCTATGTCTGAATGTCACAACATAGGCTTTAGCACCTGTCCTTCCTAAAGCCACAAGGAGAGCCATGGCTCCTAAAGGCCAATCTGAGCCAGATCCTTAGAGTTAAAAAACACACACATCCTAATTCCCCACCAGCCCTTTTACTGTCTAGTGCTTTCTCCACAGGTTAAATCCAAATAGAAACCAAGAGCAAGAACTTTTGGGAGGGGGGTGAGGGGAGGGAACTGAAGAAATGGCTCAGAGGTTAAGAGCACTAACCAGAGGTTCTGAGTTCAATTCCCAGCACCCACATGGTGGCTCACAACCATCTATAATGAGACCTGGTGCCCTCTTCTGGCCTACAGGAGTACATGCAGGCAGACTGCTGTATACATAATAAATAAATACATCTTTTAAAAAATGTTCAGGGACAGTTACCACATGGGTTGGCCTCCTAGAATATAAAGAAGGGCACAGGGGAAGCTTTAGGAGAACCTAGGACTTCATGGGCCTCAAGATGGGAAGCATGGACTAGAGACATCTAAGCAGTCCCAGTCAATGGAATGTCAGTGCAGTGAACCCACTGAGACTTCAGAAAGGCCAGAGCCCAGACCTGGGAAGATTCAGGTCTCTAGGTCCGGGGGAACAGGGCAGGCAGGACCTTACATACAGAGGCAGAGAGCCACACCTGTGTGGGGACCAGAGCTGGGCTCTGGAAAGGTCTTAAGCTGTCTGGACACGTCTGCCCTCGGAGCTTTACTGTCAGGGACAAAAGAACCCTCAGTAATTTGGAACGGTGTGGTCCGCAATGTCTCTGCCCCCATCTCAGTCCCTTACAGTGGGTGTTCACAGTATCCTCCAGACTAGAGCCTCTCTCTCCTCCACAGCCCCACTCCACAGCGCCGACCTGTGTCCAGCGCGCATCCACCAGGCCGACCTCCTGCAGTGCGGGGTCCCACACCAGGGCCTCCCCTAATTCCTGTGCCTGTGGGGCCGGCAGCCTCCTTCTCGGCACCCCCAATCCCATCTCGGCCTGGACCACAAAGTGTGTTTGCCAACAATGACCCCTTCTCAGCACCACCTCAGATACCATCTCGGCCAGCACGGATTCCTCCTGGCATTCCCCCAGGAGTGCCCAGGTAAGACCTTTGTGGTGAGTTTGACTCCCTCCTTTCTGATGACTTCCACTGTAGCCCCAACAAGACAGGGTCGCACAGGCATTCCTGCTTATGTGCTGAGAAACTGAGCCCTGGAGGGGCTGACTCCAGGGCTCCTGGCCTGTCCACTAAGCAGCAAGTTACATGTCCCCCTAACCCTAGGCACTATGCCACTGAAGCCTGGTGAGCCAGGTTCTGGCCTCCATTTCTGAGGTCCAAGTTGGGCAGGGAAGTGGGCAAGATGACTCACCTGGTAAAGGTGATTGGCACCAAGCCTGGAGACCTGAGTTCAGTCCCCAGGGACCCTTCTAGTGGAAGAGAACTTGCCTGTGGTAACCAGGCAAGCAAATGACATGGGGACACCAGGAAAATGCCTGGATTTAACATATTCCTTCCTGGTGCCCCAACTCTGGGAGCAGTTTGGGGTGGGCTGGGTGGGCTGGGTCCTCACCCTCACCCTGCTTCTGGCCTCACTACCCTGCACCTCCCCTCCTCTTTACTCTCTTTGCAGCAGAAGAGCGCCCGCTGCGCCCAGCCGGCCCACCATTATCCGCCCAGCCGAGCCATCCCTGCTCGACTAGGCTGCAGGGCGGCAGTGTTCTGGGGGGGTCTTCGTGTACCCACCACAGTGCAGGAGAGCTTTGGTCTGGACCCCATTACTGCCCCCCATGCTGGGACCAGGCTCCCTGTGGGCAGCCTCCTACCCTTTCTGCCCTAGCCTGGTGGACATGACAAGGAGGGGGAGAGGGTGTGAGTCCCAGACAACAGGACATGGGGCTTTGCACCTTGGGACAAGGAGAGATCTCTGATTGGCAGTAGGAACTGCATCCTTGGGACCATCTGGAAAGAAAGATCCAGGCTGGTGTAGGGGAACTCTACCAGGGGATTCCCCACAGACTGTAAGCCTTTGTTCTTTCTTGGGGTACAGAAACTGTCCAGCTTTTCCCACGGGCTCTTCAGGAGTGAACCAGGCCCAGTATGCTCAGTGCTAGCTGCCCACCTGGCTTAAGTTGTGTATATATCTTCTTTGGCCATATTAACCATACAACCTGAGCCCAGCCCAGTCTCGACAGCCAGAAGTGCCTTTGTGCCTTCCTCAGGCCTGGAGTCCTTCTGCTCTGGCCTGCTTGCCTCACTCTCCGCAGCCCCAATACAGTTTGGGCTGTGTGAGCTGGGGAGACATCAGGAGCCTCTTGGCTCCCAGCCCCACAGGGCGGGCCCTAGTGCCTCTGTGCAGATCCTGTTCCCACTGCTTGGTTTGACCACTGTTAAGTGCCTGCCTCTGTATATCCTATTAATAAACTAAAATAAAGGGAAGCCCTGCTGGTGGCTATGTGTGTGGGCCTTTTGTGTCTGTCCTACCCAGAGGGAGACTGTGCCCCATCATAGGGCTATCTACATTTCACTGTCATGTCTTCTGCCACCTCTTCTGAACCCTTCTTTACCACTTCAGGGACCGGGACAAATATCCCTCTTGTCCCCATCACATAGTGCTCATGGGAAACAGGAATTCTAGTCACTACCCTGAATGACACTGTGGCCAGACCCACTTCCAGGCCCCCACTAGCTCTGTAGTGGACACAATTCAACTTTGCTTTACAATCTTTTTCTTTTGTGCCAGGCGACCACCTCCATCGGCTCCTGCCCGACCTTTCTTCTGAGCTTCGTGGGAGTGCCCTCCCGCCTTCCTGGCTGCCCCTGGCTTGAGGCTAGGTCTATCCCAAGCTGATGTCCCTGAGCCCAAGTCACCAGGCACTATTAATTTTTCCAAACATAATTTATTGACTCCAGTGCCCAGGACAGATGTCCCTTGTTCCTTGAGGCTTGCAGGCAGGCTTTGGTGGGGTTGCACCTCAGCCTCTGAGGTCCTACACCTAGAGAGGAGGAAGGGGTCCTCTCTTGGAGTTCTGTTACCAGACCCCCACACACAGCAGCAGCTGGCTCCCCTTTGGGCCAGGGGCCAGGGCTCCTTCCTATCAAATAAAATTGACTGTCCTGGCAAGAACTCTGCAGATGTGTCTCCTTCCCAGACCCTAGCAAAATAGGCCTATCTCCAGGGGCAAAGACATTGAGGCTGGGGAGTGTCCAGCTGGGGAATGGGCAAGGGGCAGCTGCACTGCTTGACCCCATCCTGATGTTTGGAAGACTTAAGCTAAGGCACGGTTTCAGGAGAAAACCAGGGCATCTGAAAGCCATATATCCCCACACTACAGCACCCAACACTTCCAAGAAACAGGCCCTGTTTCTGAGCCTCCCCTTGCAAAGGGTCTGCAATCCACTTGCACTCCCTGCTCACCCAGGAAGGGAGACACATGGGGCCACTGCTGAAGACCCAACTGTGCGGCAAGTCGCACGCGCCTGTTGCCCTCTGTCTGTTTTTCATTCATCCTCTGTGGCTGGGGCTACGTGGGCACAGGGCGCTTGTCGTGGAAGAAGCGCTTGAGTGTGCAGACCTGCAGGATGGCCACCAACAGCAACACAGCCACATTGGCAGCTGACCAGAAGTTGACCCGCTCCAGGTTGTCTTCTTGAAGGTTCCGATCACGTGCCTCAAAGGCTCGTAGCAGAGTCAGCATCTGAATGCTCCGTTCAAGCCGGGTCCTCATAGTCTCTATGGATTCCTGCCAGGGCACAGAGAGAAAGGGGGTCAGGCTGCCTAAGTCAGATCCTCACCCATGCTACTCACTGGCTGTGACCATCAACAAGTTGATTTGCCTCTCTGGCTTCATGTCGTATATCCTCTCCTAGAAACCTAGAAACTCAGTATTTTCCTGCCTTTTCCCCTTATGTTTTCTTGTTTTTTTAGGTAGGTCTTTGTTGTTGTTGTGGCAGAGGGTGCACATGCTATGCATTCATGTGGAGGTCGGAAGACACCCTTGAGGGATCAGTTCTTTCCTTCCACCATGTGGGTCTCAGGAGGTCAGGCTTTGTGGCAATTGTCTTTGCCTGCTGAGCTTTTATCACCAGCCTTTGAGATAGAAGCCAGTGATAACCTTGAATTTGTAATCTTGCTGCACACATGTGCAACCCACACTGGGTTTATGTAGTGCTGGGTGTGGGAGCTCAGGGTACAGGAACTTCATGTAGGCAATCCTAGCAACTGAATTGTCCCCAGATCTTTCTTTTGGTTTTAGACAGGGGATCTTGCTATGTAGCCCGGGGTTGTTCTTGAACTCATTGGAATCCTGCCTCAGCCTCCTGAGTGCCAAGATTACATCCATGCGCTAGCACACCCAACTCACCTTGATGTCTTCCATTTTGACATCAAGCATATCTTCTGGCTCCACAGCCTCAGCCCAACCTTCTACCTCCTCGTCGTCTTGGAAACTGTCAAAAATGAGCTCGAAGAACACTAGCTTCTCTGAGATGGTGCTAAAGGAGTTATCAAAGCAAAGCCTGTAGTCCCCGGCCTCAGTTGGCTCCACCCTGGGCAGACAAACGAGACACAGACGTGACCCTGGAGTGACCAGCCAGCTGGTCTGTGGAGCCAGCAGGATGGTAACCCGAGGCCACTGGGGAGCTGCAGGGCTGTAACTGAACCAAGACAGGGCAAGGCTTCACTCACGTGTGCACCCCATCAGCCTTTCGAGACTCACTGACCAACAGCACACCCTGAGGGCTCTCCAAGGTGAAGTCCACATCCAGCCCAGCACCTCCAATCACCTGAAGAGCAGGTAAGAGTTGGGGAACAGAATGGGGGCAGGTGTGCGCCAAGCCTATCTTCCACAGAAGGCCTGGGTCCACTAGGAACCCATATTTTAAAAAACAAAACAAAACATGTTATTTGGGGTAGGGAAGTTAGTGCCTGTGGAGATCAGAGGACAACTTGCAGGAGTCAGTTCTCTACCCTAGAGTTCCGAACCTCAGGCCATGGGGTTTAGCTGCAAGCTCCTTTACCCACTGAGCCCCCAAGGGCATATCTGAACACCGACATCCACACCTGCAAAATCCCTTCCTGGTCCCTAAGAAGCCTCCAAGTGGGGTCTTTAATCGGCCTCCCTGCCCACACCCTTGAGCAGTCCAAGGTGGGCGTCTACCTGACTGGGAGCTTACAGTGGTCACCGGCCCGCTAGCTGCCAGAGCTCTTCCTTGAACCCAACCCAAAGAGATAGCAAAGGCTGTCTTCTTGGCAAGACTATAGGCATTCCAGCCACGCCCCTTCCCCGCCTCTCGTGCCTGCTGACCACACCCCCTCCCGGTCCTAAGCTGTTACCCGAGCCCGGGACCCTCTCACCTGGTACTCGGTCTCCAAACTAGCATTGGCCGGCGCGGACTGGTAAAAACACTGTTTCCTCCCGGCGGGGAGCAGAAATGTAAACTCGCCGTCCTGAATGGGCGGTGGCCCTGCCTCTCCCACTCCTACTGCTGGCAGGAGTAGCCACAGGGCCAGGGCTACGGCCGCGCTGGCCGCCATTATCCGGGTCACCGTCTACTCTACTCATGGAACGCGGGTCCTTTAAGAGCTAGTCCCGCCCACCTCTCATTTATGCGAAGTTCATTGGCTGGAGCTTCTCAAAAGCCGCGGAATGCTGCGTGAAGGGCCCAAAGAGGCGAACTGCCCGGGTGAATGCCTAGTCTAGAAAGCATACCGACGCTGATGTGAATTTTGTGAAACTTTTCCATATCTGTTATTGACCTCTGGAGCTGGGGGTAAAAATGACAGACCTGAAATGATGAAGCACTTTTTTACAGGCAAAAATTAAGATGACTGGGGGGAGGGGTATTTGAGGGTCCTTCTGTAGCACCGCCTGCTGTCCTTGTCCCTACCCCCATTCAAGGTGCTTGTCTCCCATCGATCAATCCGGTGTAAGCGGAGCCGCCAATGATGGCCACTGTGTTGGATCCTGATCGGGAGGTTTAAGGATGATGCATCAACGCTCTGTGATAGGCCGGGTGCTGGTGGTACTCCGATACCGGTTCTGGGGATGCTAGTTCAGAGAGCATGGCCTCCCCAGACTCAACGCTAGCACCAGACCATCACTTATAAGAGTTGTGGTCTCTTACGTTGGGGATGATGGAATGTTTGTTAGGTGGTGAATAGAACACGCCCTCACTCTATATCCAATTAGTCTCAAAAATGAGGAATATATTTGGCTTCAAGATGGCCCAGAGGATAAAGGCTCTTGCTGCTAAGCCTGATGACAAAGTGTCTTCTGACCTCCATGCACACACACAAAACACTGTTTTTGTCCCCTTGACACAAACTAATCTGGCAAAAAGGGATTCTCGTGTGAGAAATTGCCTTGTGGGCATTTTCTTCATTGGTAACTAATGCATGAGTCCTGGTCCATTATAGGTAGTACCGTCCCTAGGCAGGTGGGTCTGGGCTGAATTCGAAAAGCCATTTGGGAACTGGAGAGAGGACTCAGCTAAGAGCACTGGCTACTCTTCCAGTACCTATATGGTAGCTCATAATGTGCCGGAACTCTGAACCCCAAAATCAAGAGACCCTATCCAATACAGAAAAGAGTCTTTAATTTTTACGAGTTAACTCGACCAGCAAGTGAAGCAGGCAGGGACCAGGAGGGACCTCGAACAGCAGTGGAGCAGGGAATATATTGGGGCAGAGCAAGGGAAGTGCCTGGGGCTCACAACAGTCTCGGGACTGGTGCACTGCCAGGATTGCTGCTGTGCCTGGAGGCCCTCCTGGGGCGGTTGCTATGCTCTACACTCCAGTGCAGACCTTAAAGTATGTCCTGAGGCCACCAGCCAACTTCTGATAGGTTCCTTGCCACGTGGAGGGCAAGGTCAGGAGCTCAGCACATGTTGCTGAGTCAGGAATCTACATCTGACTGGGTATTTTCTGCAGCCTGTCATGGCTGCCAAAGCAGGAGGCTGGGTGAAGGTCTGGTCCCTTCAATAACTGCCTATAAATCCAGTTTCAGGGAATCTGACACCTTCACACAGACATACATACATACAGGTAAAACAGGAATGCACATGAAATAAGTAGTTTGAATGGGGCAGTGGTCGCTGACACCCTTAGTCCCAGCACTGGGGAGGCAGAGACTGGAGGATCTCTGTGGGTTTGAGGCCAGCCTGCTATTATACAGAGAAACCCTATCTCAAAACCAAAAGGAAAAAGAAAGAAAAGTAGTTTGGGCAAGCCAGGACATAGTATCTGCTCTGATCAGCTATGACTGGAACATACTGGTTCTGTCTCCAAGTTGCTTTTGGTCATGGATTTTATCACAGCAACAGAAACAAAACCGGAATACACATAAAATACAATACAATAAAAAGAAAATTTTTTAGTCAGGCATTATGCATGCCTTAGTCCTAGCACTCAGGAGGAAGAGGCAGGTGATTCTCTGAGTTTGAGGCCAACTTGGCCTGGATAATGAGTTCTAGGTAAGCCAGGACTACACAGGGGAAGCTCTGTTTCAATAAACTTAAAAATACACATATTAAGCTTGGTGGTAGACTATTTGCATAGCAAGGTCCTAGATTCAACTTCCAGCCCCACAAAACAGACACAAACCAACAAACCCCAGGACAGTATAATTAATTTTGCCAATGTGACATAATCTGCAACCAGCTGAGGAGAAAACCTCAATAGGAGGTTGCCTGGAACAGGTCAGATTAGGCAACTGTCCTGATTGTTAATTGAGAGATTAGACATGCCTACTGTGGGAAGTTCCTGGATGTGTGTTCTGACAGAGAGTGGAGCATGCATGTATCCACAGGTCTGTTCATGACTATGGATGTGAAGAGACTAGCTGTCTGCTATGATGAACTGCAACTTGGAATTGTGAACTAAAATAGCTCTTTGTCCCCTAAATTTATTTTGGTCAAGTGTTTCCTCACAGCAACAGAAATAAGGCATGTCCTTGCATGCTTAGTCCCCTGTTAAACTGTTTGGAAAGGAATAGGTGTGGCCTTGTTGGAGGAGGTGTGTGACTGGGGATGGGCTTTGAGGTTTCAAAAACCTACCCCTGGCCAGAATGTAAAACTCTCATTGGTCAAACTGGGTGGTGGTGCACACCTCTAATCCCAGCACGCTGGAGGCCGAGACTGGTGGATCTCTGTGAGTTTGAGGCCAGCCTGGTCTACAGAGAGAGTTCTAGGACAGCCAGGGCTATACAAAGAAACTGTCTCAAAAAAAACAAAATGGGATGGGGTGGTCAGTGGTGGGCAGGGGAGGATGGGAAGGAGAGGGAAGGAGAGGGAACTGGGATTGATACATAAAACAAAATTGTTTCTATTTTAAAATACATTTTAATATATATATATACATACATACATACATATATACACTTTTTTAAAAGGAAAAAAAACCTCGTTGTTCCAGCTCCATGCCTGTCTGGCTCCCCACCATGATAATGAAATGACCCTCTGGCTCTGTGAGCATGTCCCAAATTAAGGGCTTTCTTTAGAAAAGTTGCCATGGTCACAGCAGTAGTAATCCTAAAGTACTATAATCCCTAGTGAAATAGAAGCAGCAATTAAAAGTCTTTCAACCAAAAGAAGTTCATGCCAGATGGATTCAACACCAGGCCTTCAAAGAAGTAATGTCCATGCTCCTTACATTATTCCACATAATAGGAGTATTTTTAAAAGGCTACAAATTTCCTGATACCTAAACCACATGAAGACTCAACAAAAAAAGACATTACAGACAAATTTCCCTTATGAAGATAGATACAAAAATACTCAATAAGATACTTGCAAACAAAATCAAGAATATGTCAAAGGTCATCCATCATGATCAAGTAGATTTCATCCCTAGTGTGGTAATGGTCGACATATGTGAATGTGATCCATCACATAAACAGGCTAAAAGACATGTGAATATGATCCACATCATAAACAGGCTAAAAGACAACCACATGATCATCTCATCAGATGCAGAAAAGGCCTCTGAAAATATCCAACACCGCCCCCCATGATAAAAGTCCTGGAAAGCCTAGGGATATAAGAATTGTACCTCAACACAATAAAGGCAATTGGCAGCAATCCCACAGCCAACATCAACCCAAACACTCAAAGCATGTCCACCAAAATCAGAAAGAAGACAAGACCATCCACTCCCTCCATATCTATTCAATACAGTTCTTGAAGTCTTAGCTAGAGCAGTAAGACACCTAAAGGAGACCAAGGGGACACAAATAGGAAAGAAGTCAAAGACCCTAAAAACTCCACCAGGAAACTTCTACAGCTGATAAAACACTTTCAGCAAAGTATCTGAATCCAAAAGTAGCGCGCGCGCACACACACACACACACACACACACAGGTGCTAAACAGATTGAAAACTCAGGGAAACAATATAAACATATATTGTATGTATATGTCTATATAACTATATAAGTCACATCCCAAGTTATATGTGGAATTACAAGCTGTGTGTGTGTGTGTGTGTGTGTGTGTGTGTGTGTATGCGCACGTGTGCGTGCAAGTGCATGTGTGGGTATGGACACAAAAACCAGGATAGCTAAAACAGTCCTGAAGAATAATAAAAGAGCTGATGGAGCTATCACTATCTCAACTTCAGAACTATACTAGTCAAAACAGCTTAGTATTGTCATAAAAACAGATACATTGACCAGTGGAGTCCAATTGAAGACACAGGTCCATATACCTATGGACACCTGATTCCTTTTTTTTTTTTTTTTTTTCAAAGAAGCCAGAATTAAACACGGGAAAAAGACAGCATCTTCAACAAATGCTGCTGG